AGGTAGGCATGAACAACGTAAGGCAGGGTATTATTCATGAATTTCCTGTGAGGAGTTAAAAATCACAACAGAGATTCTGACGAACATATGATGCAGACGGCCCTTCGGGCCATCTGTATCCTATGTTCATCGAGAATCTCTGTTGTAATTTTTAAGCTCCTAGGAAATTAATAATACTAATCCGATTTCCGTATAATCCCACAATAATTAATGAACGTGTAAATTATATTCTTTAGTTTAGCAATTCATTAATATGTTGTTCGATCCTTCTTTTTTCTGGTTTAATTGTGTTAACTTCATTGCAAGCTTCTTCAAGTTCCTTAAGTGCTTGATCATGTTCTTTAATTGTTGATTTCGCCTTAACTATGAGCTTCTTCAAAGTTCTTGAAATGATTGGTCATGTCCTTGGGTTGTTAATTCTATTTGTTGTTGTTTTAAAAGCATATAATTTTAAGAAATTCCAATATCTCGAAATAAAAATTTCGCACATTTTCTCATACTTACTAATTTAACTGAAGTCATGCTGGCTGGTCTAGAAGCTGAAATAATTTTATTATCTAAACAATAGGTTGATAATAGTTATACAAGTATGAAAGTAATAGACACTAATATAGTGATTTGCTAAAATTAGGTATAGTAAGTAAAAATTAGTTATTGGATGTGAAGCAGCCAATAACGGAAATTATTTGTAAAATAATTTAAGCTTTTGTTAATAATTATATAAGCTGCTATATAAATTACAAAGTTATTTAACAAATAATATAAAATAATTCGTTACAATTCTTATATCTGATTGATCCACATAACTTATTCATCATCCATTATTTATTTTTTCACATGTATTTCATCGCGCCTTATATTTTCCGTGGTCTGACTATTGCTACATGTGTTTTTTACATGTGAGTAGAAGTATTAAGGTTTCAAAAATCCAAAATTACATACTAGCACTATTTGATCAAATTTAAATCAAGAAAATCTAAAAATCAGAACCGCATATGACTATATATAGGGTTGTTTATTCTGGAGCAACCCGGGCTATACTCCAGTTTAAGGCTGAAGTGGGTTGAGATTTTAAGAAAGTTATTTCTTATAATCCGGGTTGCTCCATATGGAGTGACCTGGAGTAAATACTTGGGTTGCTCCATATGGAGTGATCTGGAGCAAAACCGATTTCACTATATGGAGTGGCATGGAGCGGCATAGTGGTCTTTAAATCCAATTGGTTAATTACTAAAATGTATTGACACATATACCGCATATATTATCTGACCTTAAACGATTTGTCCAGGGAACCGAATATATATTCAGAAACTACACCTTTCGCTCTATATACTGTCAAAATAATCACGAAAATGGAGGAATAGTTAAGAGAGTTAGCTATAGAGCGTTTTTATAGGTCAATTAGCCTATCGGAATGAAGCCGCCTATGCTTATATGGAGTAATCTGGTGCAAAGCTTGGGGTTCTCCATATGGAGTGATCTGG